CCCCCCCATACATACTCCTATTCTGTTCCATTGCCATCGCTTAGTACCTCTTTTGGTTTAATTTACAAATACATTTATTGAGGTCCATGTAGGTAGAGAAATTTCCGGCACAAGTCTAATACTTGGATCTCTTCCTGAGTACCATAGCGGGGTATGCCTGTTGGTTATCCATAGTTTGTCTTCCTTCTATTCTTCTCGTTTATTTTTGTGATTGACCCCTAAAAAATCATTATTACTTTCATTCCTGCTGGACCTTTTTGTGGAAAATTGACATCTTGTTGCATCTTCTAACAATGGGTGGTACCTTCTTCATGGGTGTGGAAATGAAAAAAATTATACCATATTTAGCAGTGCTAAGAAGTGCTTCTCATTGGTTAGCGCCATCAGGTGACAGCGCTGACCAACGAGTGCTTGCAATTTGCGAGCGAAATTCAGAATACATGGCACAGGTACAGATAGTACGGGCGGAGGGAAAGGACCGTTCGCTGAAAGGTAGGCATAGAAGGAAGGGAGAGGGGGCCAGATTTGTACGGGTTATTCCATTTTCCCAAATTACTTGGGAAATAAATGTACCCTTTAGGGCTGGTGTAGGCTTGAGCGATCATGAGCGGTTGCATACAGTGGTTGCCGCATGGCCCCATTGATGTCAAGGGGGCTACATCTGTGTGGCAATCGCTGAAAAAAGGTACTTGTACCATGTTTCACAACACACACTGTGCAGTGTTTTCAACCGCGATTATGCGCGATTCAGGGGTGTGGAATTCCTATCACCCGACTCTGGGGACAGGCAGTTCCGTCCTCCATTAGAAACCGCGCAATCTGGCGGGCGCAACTGGAGTGCCATTCGAAAATAATGGCACTGCCAGCGTGATCAGCGGTAGTGTGCAATTCTGTGACCGCCCGGCCATCCGCATGGTTTTGTGCACGATCAGGGATCGCCCATTCTACTCACACACAGAATGCCCTATGCATGTATTTGTTTGCATGCAGATAGTGGGGGCAGCGGGTTTGGTTTTAATTTGTTTTTACTTATATTTAGTTTTTTGTTACTAATTTTATTGTAAACATTTTTATTTTATTTATTTCATTATTTTTTAATTTATCGCCTTTTATTTTTTACATTTTTTTAATATCCTTTTTTAATTATTTGTTATTTTTTACATTTTTATGTATTTACAAACAAGGGACCCCGAAGACCATGGCAGATAGGGAGCTAGCGGGTGGGGAGAGGGAGAGAGGCAGCTGGGAGCGGTAACAGAGGCAGCGGCTGGGGACACGGCCGGAGAGAGAGAGGGTAGGGGAGAGAGAGGGGAGGGGGGAGTGAGAATCAGGCTGGTTACAAGTGATCTTGGACGGCTGTACAGCCGCTGAAGATCACCTGTACAAAACGGCTCCCCCTCTACATTTAGCCCTGCTGCCTGCTTGAAGCAGGGCTAAATGTAGAAAAAAATACTCACCCAGCCCCCTGAACTGCATGTGTCGGGCGATAGGAATTCCACACCCCTGCTTCTTGATGTTTTTTACAACATATTGTGATTTCTTCTAACTTTTCGTTCTTTTTTTGTTGTATGGATGTTTTTCTCCTCTTTGTCTCTTTTTCTGTGTCGGTTTCCATTGGTTCTCTCTATCATTTTTAGTACTTTCCTCATCTATACTGTCTTCTTCTTTCTTCTTCTTTCTTCTTCTTTCTTCTTCTTTCTTCTTCTTCCTTCTTCTTCTTTCTTCTTCTTCTTTCTTCTTCTTTCTTCTTCTTTCTTCTTCTTCTTTCTTCTTCTTCTTTCTTTCTTCCCCATACTTTTAGTCTTGAAATCTCCTAGATCTCTAATGTATTTCTTATGCTTCTTCTCCCGTAATTGCTTATCTTTCTTTTGTAAATGGGTCTGTACCTCTTTTGTCAGTACTGCATACTCTTCTGTATCTTTAAAAGGTTTTAGTTTCTCCTTCAATTGGGATATGGTATTCTCTACTATATTCAATTTTCTTCTTTTTCAGTTGACAAGGATTAATTGCTGTTCACTATGATGAAAGAATAGAAACCGTTCTTTTGATGCTTCCACTCTCTTTAACCCATCTTTCGGTGGTATGTCCCACCTTAGACTCCTCGGTGTTAGTCCTTCTTTTATGTAGCATTTATGTGATAATATGTCCCACCATAAATGTAGTTATTTTTCCACGGCAAATTTAGGTTGTTTAAAATCCTTTTGTATATCTCCACACCTCTTCTTGTGTTCTCCATATCTCTTCTTGTGTTCCGTGTGCAAGATATCTCCTCTAAATTAATATCTCTGTTCTTAACTAAATTAAACATTCTCATAGCTGCAGTTAAACAGTGTAAAATGTGTTGCTCTTATTATTATGTGTATATAAAAACCGTGATAGGATATAAATGTATAATTGTGGCAAGTCGCAACAATCTCCCAATGAAATCCTCACAATCATATCTTCAATTATGTTGCGCTAGACCTAAAACATCATCCAGTGTTAAATCATCAATAAATAAATCCAATAAATATGCCTAATATTCGGTCTCAATATAGCAATAGAGAGATAAGAACTCTCATGTGAATCCATTGTCTGGCAATAGAGATGCAGGCAAGGCAGAAAGCACCTGAGCAGTGGACTGCAGAGTAGGAACACAAGTGGGTTTCACGCTCCTAACAGGTACACACTATGTAGCCTACCACACTGCAGTTCACTTTATTCTAGTTTAATACAGCACTGTCTGAGACTCTATATAGCACTTTATATAGCAGCAACTATCTCTCCATGCTAACACCGTGTCACCTCTCCCTATATACTCTCTATTGAATCTAAGTCTCTAACACTGACTGACAAAATGCTGCTGGGAACCCTGATGTGTAAAAGGAGGGGGCTGCCTCATAAGAAAACCTTGATTATTAGCCCTACCAAGCCACCCGACCAACCACAGAGGTTGCAGCCTCCACATACTGCCACAGTTCCTCAGGTGTATTGAATTGAAAAGGGACACTATCTGATATAGCTCTAGGTAAATATTCAACATCTCCTATCAGAGGGGAAAGTAAACATCTGTGAAGGTCAAATCAATGCGGGAGGATGTTTATTTGTGAATCTGATTGTCAGGAAAAAAGCTCCCATCTCCATGTCCATCTATATGATTACATTTATGTATCCATACAACAAAACCACCATATAGTCTCCTCAATCCTTCTAAATCAGGGACAGTGTGTTTTTTTTTTAAATCAAATAATTTTTCATCCCTGACCATAGCAAATGTCTACTTTCGCTCAAATGTTTTAAACTAAATCTACCTATTTGAGAAGCTGTTTCTAATAACTTTTAATATATAGCATTACTAGTTATTAGTCTCCATTATTACAAACTTAAAATACTTATTTTTATTCAGTGGAATGCACATTTGAACGCCACAGTCAAGCTTTGTTGCAGTGCCTTTGCTTAATCAATATAAATATAAAAATAAAACATGTTTGTATTGTTTGTTAAAATTTCTGTTTTTTCTTAATTTTACAGCTTTGTCTAATTTGTACCTTATGTGCTGTGTTTTGGGTAAGTCATATATAAATGAAGTCATTAAGTTATTACACACAGGTATGTATGTGTATATATATTATTACACTGTATATACAGTTGTGCTCATAAGTTTGCATACCCTGGCAGAATTTATGATTTCCTAGCCATTCTTCAGAGAATATGAATGATAACACGGAAACCTTTCTGTTACTCATGGGTAGTGTTTGGCTTAAGCCATTTATTATCAATCAACTGTGTACATTTTTTTTTGTTTTTTTATTCTTTTTTATGTGTAAAATTTTTGGGGGGACTTAAATTTTTTTCCCTTTTTTTTTCCACTAAACTTTATTGCTATCACATACGGGGGCTAATTAATACAACGGCCGGCCCTGAGGTCGTTAAAGGGAACCATCCTCATCTGTGATCTGTGATCTGTTTGCATGTAATCAGTGTGTGTTTAAAAGGCCAATGAGTTTCTGGCCTTCTGACAGACTCTTGCATCCTTAATCCAGTGCTGCACTGACGTGACTGGATTCTGAGTCATGGGGAAAGCAAAAGAATTGTCAAAGGACCTTCGGGAAAAGGTAGTTGAACTGTATAGAACAGGAAAGGGATATACAAAGATATCCAAGGAATTGAGAATGCCAATCAGCAGTGTTCAAACTCTAATCAAGAAGTGGAACATGAGGGCTTCTGTTGAAACCAAACCACAGTCAGGCAGACCAACTAAACTATCAGCCACAACTGCAAGGAAAATTGTTCGGGATGCAAAGAAAAACCCACAAATAACTTCAGGTGAAATACAGGACACTCTAAAAACATGTGGTGTGGCTGTTGCAAGATGCACAATAAGGAGGCACTTGAAGAAAGATGGGCTGCATGGTTGAGTCGCCAGAAGAAAGCCATTACTACGCAAATGCCACAAAGTATCCCGCTTACAATACGCCAAACAGCACAGAGACAAGCCTCAAACCTTCTGGCACAAAGTCATTTGGAGTGATGAGACCAAAATTGAGCTTTTCGGCCACAACCATAAACGCTACATTTGGAGAGGAGTCAACAAGGCCTATGATGAAAAGTACACCATTCCTACTGTGAAACACGGAGGTGTATCGCTGATCCAACATGACAATGATCCTAAACACAAGGCCAAGTCGACCTGTCATTGGCTACAGCAGAATAAAGTGAAGGTTCTGGAGTGGCCATCTCAGTCTCTTGACCTCAATATCATTGAGCCACTCTGGGGAGATCTCAAACGTGCAGTTCATGTAAGACAGCCCAATAATTTACAGGACCTGGAGGCTTTTTGCCAGGAAGAATGGGCAGCTTTACCATCTGAGAAGATAAAGAGCCTCATCCACACATACCACAAAAGACTTCAAGCTGTCATTGATGTTAAAGGGGGCAACACACCGTATTAAGAACTGGGGTATGTAAACTTTTGATCAGGGTCATTTGCATAGTTTCTGTTGTCATTATGATTGGAAAAGAGTAAACACAGTTGATTGATAATAAATGGCTTCAGCCAAACACTACCCATGAGTGACAAAGGTTTTCGTGTTATCATTCATATTCTCTGAAAAATGGCCAGGAAATCATAAATTCTGTCAGGGTATGTAAACTTATGAGCACAAGTGTATACTGTTGACACCAAAGTAAGAAGTGATCAGGAGTAGAATAAAGTATTCAATCATTAAACTTCAGTTTCTTAAAATGCAATTACCCTTGGGTTACCACCAATGCTACTGAAACAGAACTGGTTCAGCATTCCTAAATAGACCCTGTTGCCAGACCATGCCATCCAGCAAAAATCTTCTCATAAGAATATATGTGCTTTTATCTGCATTTAATGTTTTTATACATGTTATTCAGCTGTAAAAGTCTCCATTGTATAGACATTCAAAAGCCCAGAGATTGCTGCTGGGGACCACCATTTGGGATGTCTGTAATCTGAACAAAAATGAGAAGCACTCCTAAGGGTAAAGTAACAGGTGCCAAATCAATTGTACAAGTAAGGTGTTGTTCGCCTTAGAATTTGGCTGTCCTATATGTATGAGCACCATAATGAATAAGCTTAGAAGCTTCAGTAATCTGTTCTGTATGTCATGGCTTCTCTACAGTGCCAGTATGTGTTTGCTAGACTCCCAGCATGGTACTGAAAAATCTTGGTGGTGTAGTGTGGCATAGGTGCAATAAATTGGCACAGATTGTAGCAGTAGATGATTTATTTGATTGCTTTATTTCAAAGTGTTTTTGAACGTGTCCCTGTTCCTTCATCAGATAAAGCATAGCAGCATAAACAGCACACTAGTGTTGGACATTTAAAACTATTTCAGAGTAGGTATCTTGCTGCACTCCTTACCGGAACAGTGGCTAACCTGTATATACAGGTGGGTGCTTGTAGTATCCATGGATGGCACAGTGAACAACATTTAATGACAAATTGCCATTCAATTGCAATCGCTTTCGAGGCCTCAAGGGTTCCCCTTCATCAGGTTCAGAATGGCACAACATCTAAACACCATCACCTTTAACCAATTCCCAGCCGGCCGTTGTAAAAAAAGGCCGGCCAGGAGCTCTCTAGATCTGAGCGGGCGTCTTCAGACGTCCGCTCAGCCACGCCCCCTCGCGCGCGCTGCTGGGCGCGCTCGAGCGGCAAATGCCGATATTTGAAAACAGGCAGCGATGTCCCTGTCTTTTATATTTTAACAAAAATATGGGTAATAATCATTGTTTCCTAATATAATGAAAAAAAAACTTTTTTCTCCCCAAATTTTCAATAATTTTACCTTAATATAGTAAAAAATAAAAACCCTCTATCTGTCCCCAAAAAATGGTATACAATTCATTTCAGTACAGCGTTGCATGACGGAATAAACGTCAATCAAAGTACCGCAATACGTCGAAAATACGAATAAACGTCAATACTGAAAAATGGCCTGGCCAGGAAGGGGGTCTAAACACCTGGCCTTGAAGTGGTTAAATAGACATACAGATGAATTTAAAAACTGACCCCTCCCACCAAATTGCAACATCACAAGAACAACTCCCGCCATTATGGGTTTGAAAATAGACTTGCATGCGGCAGGCCTGTGGAGAGAAAGGCACGCTCCACTATCACGTCGTTGGCTGCGAGTAACATCAGTCTGTTGTCCAGGGAACCGGACACCAAGTCACAAGGACAGCGCGCCCCCTTGCCCGCAAGCGCACGCTCCGTGTGAAACGCAGGGTGGATACAGCTTGCGTCTCAGCCGGACGTCATTCTGAGGTTCTGCGTCCATTCGCGCAGTGGTCACAGAAGGAAAAGCAGCGTCTGGACTCACACAGCATCTGCCTGTCATTTGCAATAAATATACAATGTATACGAGGCACATATAGGACCCAAAAAAAGATAAGCCTGACATAAGTAACACTAATGAATGGAGAAACCAAAACCATCATTATAAATATATAACCCATATTGTGCTGTTTCAGTTAATTTTGTGATGCAAAAAACACCGTACACAGTACAATGTAAATTTGGCTCCTATGTCATGATAACATATAATAGCAGTAAAATAGGTAGCACCGTTTTGACCCAAAAAGATACCTGTAGCTTAGTCACTTTATTAGTTAGTAGCAATAGTCTATATAGACTGTATTCAGTTGCTACCGGAGGCTATAAACAATCATAGGTATAAATTGAATTAGACACAAAGCCTAATGGGAATATGTTGGAAGTCTCTATGTGCAAAAGAAGGGGGAGGGGGGATCTTGGGAATATAAATATGCAGACCACTGTGAAAAGTAGGGGTTGGTTATGGAAATGGTGGTGAGGGGAGGGGAAGGGTAAAGGAAAAATGATAAAATGAATACCCAGAGCTGCCGATGCGTTACATGGCCCACTGTAAAACCCATCCGTGGATGGTGCAAACCCATCCATTGGAAACGGGTCACTAGAAGATTACTCTTAGGTTAGTGTGCATTATAGGACAGAATTATCTGTCATCCGAAAAACACGTCACGTGAAAGATTAGAATTTAGGCCCCTGGGTTGCGCACAATCCAGTGTGTAGAAGGAGAAGTTTAGCCCTGTCACCACCCCTAGGATGCATGTGCACCTGCTCAATTACCATGCCTCGGAGTTCATGAATTTGATGTTTCATTTTAACAAAATGAATCACCACTGGTTTGTTTATATCCAACTCCTCACCTTTTTGTTGTTTGTCAATTGTTACCTGGATGTCGCTTTTATGCTTCGGGAAGCAACGTTTGAATGGCCCGATAGTTTTGCCAATGTAGATCAATGAGCAAGGGCACTTGAGCAGGTACACACAGAACTCAGTATCACAGGTATAATAACCACAGATACTGTATTTCTTACCAGTATAGGGATTTGAGAAATGTTCACCAAAGATTATCGAATTGCAGATATTGCAATGAAAGCACCTAAAACATCCCAATTTATTGGACAGGGAAATCTGTTTTTTAATGTATTTTTTTTAATGTATTTTGACCTAGGGTCAGCTTGGATAAGGAGATTCCTTAATGCACTACTTTGCTTGTGTACATGCAGTGGTCGATTCTTTACTGTTTCTATTATGCTCTTGTCTGCCTGTAGTTTGTTTAGATTATATAAAGTGGCTAGCTTTATTTGCCGGAGTGAATGAGTGAACAAATGGAAGCCTATCCTAGGTGGGGCGCCCACTGCAAATTTCTCGGTAGCTTTCACTAGGGCTGTATTCACTATAGAACTGGGGTAGCCCCTTTGGATGAAGCGATCAGACATTTCGTTCAATTGTAGTGTGCGGATGTCTGGATCCGAACAAATTCTCATCACCCTGAGGAACTGTGATATAGGTAGATTGTTTTTAAGATGATAGGGGCGGTCGCTGTCATAATGTAACAGTGTATTCCTGTCGGTGGACTTGGTGTTGAAAACAATCCCAGGGAACAAGCTATTCGAAAAACATATAAATGCATCAAACTCTAGATCACTCCCATCCAATATCAAGAAGATGTCAACAATATACTGTGAGATTTAGCTTCCAATGGTAG